TACACTGGTATTGATTATGTTGCTACTCGCAACTGCTTTTCCAGGTTTGCTCCTAGATTTATTGAATTTCGAGTCCCGCCTGCGGTTGCCTTGGCAGGGCTAGATCAAATGATTTTGCGGGCCTTATACGGCCCGCGGGCCGGACGTTCCCCACCCCTGATTTAGGACCAGAGACATTGGCACCGTAGCAATGGCATCTGAGACAGCTTGACAGGGTTCAACAATACCATTTCAGGTCCCTGATGATGATTTTGCTGGTAGAGCAGGGTGTCCACTGTGGAAGCGATTGGTCGTGTAGGGATACCTACCGTGTTCACGGTATTTAAGTATATAGGCCAATTTTTTTAAATCCTTTATATTAAGTTCACTTGCTTGCTTGCTTGCGTGCTTGCATGCTTGCTTGCTTACGACCGTGCAAATCTTTCGGTCGTTTTTTAACCCACTTCCCGTTATCCAATCGAGCTGACATTTTGCACACAGACTCGTTGTGCGTGACAATTAATTTTCGTGAAAAAATTTTTCAAAAATTTTACACTGTTTAGGGAAATTTTTTAAAATATTAAATTACCAATTGCTTAATGGTGGCAGACAATCATCTGACCCATAGGTGGCAGCCATCTCAAGCCAGAGGACGAGGACTCTAGCCGCCCGTTTCATGATGAAGCAAATGTTGACTAACCACATGGCATGAAATCCCTGCCCCCACACTGTACAATGGAGACTATTTATAGAGCAGTTAAATTGAAGCCGCCAGGTTCTTGAAAGTGGTAAAACGGGTCAACGCTAGTGCCCTCGGGAATATACGGGGCATGTCAAGAGGTGATCTTACATATAAAGGATTTATAGTGAAAAACTTTGTTTTTACGGGTTAATTTTTCTAGGCTGACCATGTCAGGATGAAGGATGGAAGGCCACCCAAGGACATCATGCATGGGCAATTGAACCCTATGGTGGGACCCCGGGGTCCCATAAGCCCCCGGCTCTCGCATACACATATTATAATGTAAACAATAACTTTGCTCTTTTTCACCAATGGGTTTGAAGGATGGTGGCAAGTGTTGTCTTGTTAAACTATGCATTTAAAACTGAAAACTACTTCCCTGCAGTACCTATATTTAAATACACTATCGAAAAAATAATTTACACCCCTCTGTCAATCATTGTGTTTCTCAGTGTGGATTTGTGAACACAGTTTGTAAACAATACATAAAATAGTACGCGTTTTCAATGCGCTGTTCATATTGTAACAAGCGTTTATACCAATATTACTCTACAGAGTAGTGGGTCGCCGCTCCTCGTATCCACATTGATACGAGCGGTATGTGGGGACTATGGCTTAACCGCAAAAAAAACCTATCTGCACAGATGCATACGGACAAGAGAAGTATTATCAAACTGGAGGAATTAGCGGTGCAACGCATCTCATCTGTTAAATATTTGCAGGTAATAGGATTGTCATCGATTGATCCTGGCTGCAGACATTGGTAGGTCACAAATAATAATGAAGATAAGAGAGCAGTTTCACTGTATTATGCATACAGTTATGACAAATAAAGGACTTAAGTCGTAAAAACTAGATTCGAAGCTTTCGTGACTGCAAGGATTACTCTTTGGTTCTTTCGGTAAAGTCACGGAGAAAATAAAATCAAATAATAATAGAATACGACGTTTCAGTTGCAACACAAGCAACCATCATCAGGTAATAATTCATGATAAAACACAGAATACGGGAACAGCATAGGCAGACACACATGCAGAGCGAGAGACACACCAAGACAAACAGAAGGACAACGAATCTGTGCAGAGGCCTTAAATAGAGAGAGGGGGGAGGGGCCGGGCAGAGAGAGGACTGGGGAGGTGGGACCAGCTGACGCACGAGGGGACAAGGAGGGAGCAGTGTGGAATTCCGGACCACAGTGGCCGGAGGAGAGACAATGGTTTAGAGCAAGAAAATCAAAAGTTTGAGAGAGCAAATTTAGTAAAATTAAGAAGTGTAATACAATGAAACACAGAGGGTCGGTTAACACACAGTTAACGCATAGCCTGGTTGATTAACGTTCTTCCAAAGATTGCAAAATTATAAGTAAAGTGTGAGTTGTGAGTAAACCTTCCCCGTAGAGGTGGTTCAAACTAGATTCTAAACTTTCGAAACCATTGTCTCTCTTTCGGCCACTGTGTTACGGAATTCCACACTCCTCCCTCTTTTCGATTTAAAGCTTTCGTGACTGCAGGGATTCATCTTCTTGGTTCTTTCGGTAAAGTCACGTAGAAGGGAAGTAATAAAATAATAAAAATAAAACATAATAAAATAATTCTCACGACGTTTCGGCCACAACGCAGGCAGCCGTCCTCAGGTGAAGACCAGGTCTGTCGGGGAGACAGCGTCTGAATGAAACACCACCACGCTTGGAGCGTCTATATAAGCTGGGTTGGAAGGGGGGGGAAGGGCGCCTTGACAAAATAATTTGCATATCAAGAGGAATTTAGCATATTTATGGGAAATGCAGGTATGTGATTAGTACAACTTGTGAAATGCGTAGAGGAGGTGTGCGGGGGGTTTCAAAGTCATTATGTCCATGCATTATGCAGGATTAGCAGCATCAAAGGGAGGGGATAAGGGCAGCATTAATAAAGGGAAGGAATGTTAATAGTATGTAGCTGCAGTAACTAAACAACCACGTAAAAATCTCAAGTATAAACTACATAGTATCATCAGTATACTAAATATAAGTAAGTAATACATTACAATTCTATGTCGCAAAAAATATAATATGCTTCCAGCTAAACTTTTTTCCCTTACATCACACGGGTCTACCCCGTACTATATGCTGCCATAGACAAACCCAACATTAAATTACATACTGTATTACTATACACCACCCTATACCTTAGAATAATACATAGTGTAATATTACACTATGTATTATTCTATCCACCCTACTGTATGTCACACTGCTGTATATTCAGAGTAGCAAGGACGGAACGAGTTCCACGCAGCGAAGCAGAGAGTAGCAAGGACGGAGCGAGTACAGCGTAGCGAAGCAGCGGAGTAACGGACCTTGGTGGAGAGAAAGCGAGCGAAGCAGCAGAGCGAGCGAACGAAGGGACATCGAGTGGGGCTGAAAGAGAATTGTACATTGAAGTGTATGGAGGAACATTGAACGATGCTGTCGGAGATGTGAACTATATGCGGAATAAAAGGAACGAGAAAGACAAAGAAGTTGTCGCGTCAGTAAGAGTCCTACACATATAAAAAATAATGTTTAAAAAAATATATTTTTTATTTGTAATGATAGAATATAGTATTATCAGTATGGCATAAGTATACCAAGTTTGCAGTCGATACCACATTGGGACGTGGGTAAAAATTGAGTTACAAGATTTGAGGATACAACAGAGTGATTTAATAAAAAGCGTGTAATAATAATAAAAGACAAGCGTCTCAGGCAATCCCAGCATCATCTGAGAAGTCCTGTAAGGAGAAACACGAACATGCGTGTGAGTTGTGTGAGGATCCTGCCTTTCGAGGATTGACCTACTCAGCAAATAACGGAAAGGCCCCAAAACACACTGGCGAACAAAGATGGTGCAGCCATCATCAAATATGATGAACGATTATGACGAAGCTACTTCCATGGAAATATTCACTCCATCACTTATTTTAACAAAAATACAGTACTACAATCACCGTTATGATCTTTGACCATAATGTACTGAAAAATGTATGCAGTAAAAATCACAACCTTGACACATGATTTATGAGAGCTAATGTAACAAGTATGCAAATAAAGGAACACGTGCTCATGGTAAATCTAAACTTTATTGAGATAAATTGTACATGCATAAAATTTCACATGCAAATTAACACATGAAAGAAAAAACAACTCTTAAGGCCCTAAGCACCATACTGCTTACATGGCAATGTATTATTTTGCAAATTTGTAAAAATACAGTATGTGTCTATTGTCAACTTTGGATTTGCAGTGTCTGATATGGATATGCAGCTTTACCAATTAAAACGTGTATTTAAAAAAATCCTCAACAACGTCCAAATTGTCATTAAATTCTCAACATGACCGTATGTCTCATTGCTAATAACGATTTCACTGTAATTTAAATATTGTGAAAGTTATTTTAACATGTAATGTTTTAAACTGGCCAAAACACCGCTTTCACTTACGGTGCCTAAAAATAGTTGGCGAACTTTTCAAGCAATTACCCTTCTTCAGGGACGATTAACTGAGCGTTTAAAAACACAGTATGGTTGACATATTGGGCGACACTTAAAACATCTCAGGCCCAACAGCTAAAATCCCAATGTTCTAAACACGCACGCCTATTTCACCAACAGAAACTACTCTAAGATGTTTTCCCAGTACAGGTCTAAAATGGGGCACACACCTATTAAACCTGCAAAAACAGCTTCCATTTTGCACACCTGTCACAATTCCTTACACCACAGAGTCCAAAAGGAAATAAAAGTCAAGTAGCAATATAAAAAAAAATATTGAACATTGTTTCAGAGAAAACAAATAGCATGCCAAGCTACGTGTTCAACTCAGTGCACACCAATGTAAACCAGTCATAGGAAACATTGCAATGCTATTTTGTTGTTATCAGGAAATAAAACCAATCAATTAATGGATTTCGCGACAGGCAACAACAATAATCAACATTACGGTGAAGCTGCTGCTTAGGCAAGTATTCTTGATTCACTATGGGAACCTCATTTGCCAGTAAAAATATAATTGTTTTTTTACCCTTCTATCTGGCAACAAAACTGACACCTTTTTACAAGGAGTCATGTTTGCATAGACCGCAATACCTGCAGTCATAATACAAACAAAATACATAACTCTGATAATGTGCACTGTCCTTGAAGTTGATTGGTCCACACCCGAGACAGCGTTCCTTAGGTGTGGACCAATCAACTTCAAGGACAGTGCACATTATCAGAGTTATGTCTTTTGTTTGTATTATGACTGCAGGTATTGCGGTCTATGCAAACATGACTCCTTGTAAAAAGGTTTCAGTTTTGTTGCCAGATAGAAGGGTAAAAAAACAATTATCATTCTTGATTCACTTGTGCAACAACACTTGAAGCTGGTTTTCATGGCTCAATTGTTGAATGTGACGTTTGCTGGCTGCACGGTTTATGCCTCCAGGATTTCATGCCTATTTGATCCACAATAAACATATCACTGTACAGCTTTATTTCAACTGCATGCATAGCTTTGTCTAGACATCAATCAAATCTGCATCTCCGTCCACCTACATTGGTGTATTGAAAGTAATGTAGCATGTATTACAAACATCTATCTCTAAGGCACAAAAGTTAGATGGCTACTCGACAAACTTGTATAGCGGTCTTTAGTCTATTGCTGCGTAACCTGAGACACAACAGAGAATACTGGATGACTTAATTTCGATTACTATTCAAAACGTACCCCTCAAGCCCTTTTTGACATAGGAAAAAAATATTCACTTTAAAACATAATTTCTTATTCAAATTAGTGTTATCATGCATGAAGATAGAATTACTACATGGCATAGTGTCAGTGTTTTGGCTTGTACACAAAACGTTCACTTTCAAAAGCTGGTGCTGTGTTGGCATTTACTTCACGTACAGCTCTCTTCTTCTTAACATTGACACATTGTTGCAATATAGCGCCCCCTTTCAAAACATTACAGTATTAGAATATCAGAAAAACACCACAATCCGCACTATGTAGACTCTGTTCCCCAGTCAGAACCTCTGGCAAAACAGTCAATTAATTTGTCTCACTGATATAACATATCCTTTGCCTACCACATAGATACCCACATACCTCTCCAGACTCCTATCTCAAATCCATGCCTGTTAAAACTAACTTTGAGCATGATCACCATCACTACTATCGTCCGTGTGAGGACTAATCCCGTCAAAATATCTATCCGCATCCACCACCATCACCTGCATCACAGTCACTATTGCACTGACCAGTCATGCTGACAATCCATCATGCTGCCGCATTACATTTTAGGCCATCCATTTGTAAATGAATGCCATCCCGTGGTGTAATGCGACCATTGGAAATCCTTGCCGCCGCCTCTGACAGCTGAATCACAGAGGGGGTGACCGGTTGGTTCACCAGCGCATCAGCAAGTGCACTGCGTATTTTGGGAACCAATTGTTTACACAACAAGGCACCGTTCTATCAGCGCAGCAAACCACGTCTCTCTGCATATCACGAGCCCGGCGACTTGTGAGAGCAGCTCTGTGATCCACGCAGACCAGTGCACGGGGTTAAATATAGAGCATTACCAGTGACGGTACAAATTGGGCTAGCTGACCTTTGCTCAAAGGGGAGTGTATAAACCTACAAAGAAATAAATACTCCCGATATTTTTGGAACGTAAGCACACACCACTGTTTAAGATTTATGCAAATCTTATAATTATGTTTCTCATGTGGGTATTTATTTATGAAATGATCAAGGGAATTCAAACTTTATTGGATTTAATTTTAATGCCAATGCTTGGAAATTTTTAAATCGCTTTCTTCAAATGAACGCCACTGGTAGAAGTTATTGTTGTGTGCATTTTGTCCCACTTTAAAATTAGTCTACGAGTGCATAGATATTTTATGCCAAAAAAGCATGTGTCAGAAACTCAATCGATACAAATGCTTTCACGTATGAGTGTAGCGTGTGTGTGACCAGGTTTAGACATTGATGGCATGGGCATGTTTCTTGCAGAGTGGCTTGTCTTTCTTGGAGTAGAAGGGCTGTCCCTCCAGGTTCACATGACACACCTACACAGTGAAATGCAGCAGAAGTTAAAGACTCAAGAATGAGAAAAAAAACAGACGACACATAGAAGCCAGACTATTTTTGAACAGTTGACCACTGCAAACACAGCAACGGGTGGCAACTGATACTACCATCAGCAGGGGGCTGTATGCCCTATGGGTCAGAAAATCAGAGCCGGCTGCCTATAATGGTACCGGGAGATGCCATCTGGCGGATGAGATGTTTAAATGGAGGTCTTGTATCGCGTGTCACATCTCAATATGAGCATGGAATGTCAACTTGGATACATACATCACGTTGGAAAATGTATTATATTTGTAGCTCAATAATTATGGAATGCTCCTTCCTTAGAATTGGGAAGATCAACTGCCTTGCCAGCCATTAGCACGGTTGACTACGTACGGTACAAAATAAGAACTATGCATTTTTTAAAAATATATATACTTTACATTCATTTGCATTAATTTGACAGTGTTGCCTTTCAGTGGCTTTTATAGTCAAGCAATGTATTTTCTCTTGTAAAGTACATGGATGGTTTATAATCTTTACACCTGTAAATGTGTTTCTTGAGTTGTGATTTGCACATGAGCACAACAAGGATAACAATTTCACAGATTAAACACAAACACAGCTTAAGAAGCCCTACATCTGAAGACTTTGCTTTATACTGATAAAGTAAATTGAATTTTTTTTTTTACTGCTGTGGCTGCAAAAAAAAGTTTTTTTTAATAGAGCATAATTTATGGCAAATTAATCTTAAACTACTTTGGAATTTGTAATGCACACATTTTCCTTGCAGAGGCATGGGAAACCATATGCAATAGGAAGATTAGACAGGATTAGATCCAACAATTGGCCAAGCTGTGGTCCTATATTGGGATGTTTGGCCAACTCCATCAATGTGTATTTATACATGTGGGAGGAAACCAGAGTGCCCGGATAAAACCTACGCGAGCGAGGGGGTAACACTTTATTCCTGTACAGATAAAAATGGCGACCTTGATGTCCACGGGTAGGGAGTTTCATGAATTTTCGTGATCCACCAATCCACAAGAATAACATCAACAAATAGAAGATGATACTCACAGCGCAGATGAAGCAGGTATCATGCCAAGTGTGGCCAAGGGCCTCAATAAATTTGTCTCCAGCCTCAACGGGAAAGTCACAACCATGGCACTTGGTGCTAAACAACACCACGTAGTCTGTGAACACACACAGAGCACCGCAGGGCAAGTTACATCGGGCTGGGAAAACAAGAACAAGCCAAGCTGCAGGTGTATTTAGTGACACCAGGTATCTACAATAATACTCCCAGTACTGATATACACTGCACCCATTTATTGAAAAATGCATAATGGCCAAGTATCAGAATTGGCCAGCACTCATGTGGGAAGGAGGATCGGGACAAGTCGGTCAAACAGCGTTGCGTGGTCGCTTGAATGCAAGTTCCGCACAACGGTGAGGAGTGGGGCACCTTTCTCGCAGTAAGGCTCGCCATCCTCCATGTGGAAGAGGCTGTTTCCAAAGGGCTTGCCGCAGGATGCACACACAAAGCAGGTGGTGTGCCACGTCTGCCTCAGGGCGTGCATGATCTCCTGCAGCCAGAGGGCACAAGCGAGAGCAGAACGTGCAGCAGTCATGAACGTGTCGCCCAGTGAAATATACTGAAATTTGACGGAGGAAATTATATCAGCGCGTGTACAGGAGTGAGACGGGTTGTGGTATCGCAGAACCATGAAGGAGCGCAACAATGTGGGGAAGCCTACAAACAGTAGTGCGAGAACATGGTCGATGATGATATTGTCGATAAACGATATTATAACTCATTCTACCACGGAATGGATGTTGGGTTATTGCTTTATACACCAGGCCAGCGACTTTTCAGTCACTCCATGTACATATTAATAATATGGACTATACAGGCAGTCCCTGCCCTACGAATGCCTGATTTACGATTATCCGCACATACTAACGAGCTTCCATTTGATACTTATGTTTTAACCATCCATCGTGTGAATGCAAACTCGCACTTACGAACTGAACTGCAGAACTATTTTGTTCAGCAGAGCAATCCTCCGCGAGAAGTAATGAGTCCAGCATTGCGCTATCGGTGAGTGTTTGTGTGTATGTGTGCACTTGTGCACATGTTGTGTGCAAAAGTGAGTGTGTGGGTGTATGAAAGTGAGTGTGCGTTTGGGTGGAGCGGTAGTGTAGTGGTTAGCATGCTGTGTTACGAACCCGGCGACCGGAGTTCGTTTTCCGCTCAAGGCCAAGACCAGTTACGATTATCTCAACCCATCCTGGGCCTCCCTTAGGTCAACTCAGCCTCAAAATGAGTACCTGGTGCGGGAAACAAAGGCGGCCGGGTGTGGTGCTGGCTACCCATCCCCTCGAATGCCGTTCCAGCCTTCAAAGGTTCTTGCTAACAGCACTTGCCCCAACAGTCTTTTCAAGCTATATGGGGAATATCTGGCTTTGTTTTGTGCGTGTGAAAGTGATTGTGTGTGCGTGCACGTGTGTGTATGTGCACACGTGGGTGAGCCCCCCCCCGTGTGTATGTGCAATTATGGGGACTCATTGCATCCCTTTTGACAAGCAAGGCAGCATCAAGATTCAAGTTAAGTGAAAATAAAACAGATATTTTTTTTACATTTTTATATTACTTTTTTTTGTTTATGATAAAGTATATATCACAGTTTTACATGCATATATACAATATTTATTATTATTTATGAGTTTAACAATGCTTCCCTGTTTTGTTGAATCGTAACATTTTATAACACTGACCATAGTTGAATTTAAATACAGTACATTGTTGTGTTCTGACTTACGAATTGTTCGACTTACGAACGGGTCTCAGGAAAGGGACCCGTTTGTAAGTCGGGAACTGCCTTATGAATAAATTAATGCGAAATGGGCATATCCTACATGTCGGGTATGGTCATTTTATACTGAATATACACGTCCGATTCATACAAAAATATCTGTTTATTAATTTACTTGGGCACATCATACATGTAGAATATGTTTCGATTTAAAGCTTTCGTGACTGCAGGGATTCAATTCATATTCTTGGTTCTTTCGGTAAAGTCACGTAGAAGGGAAATAATAAAATAAATAAAAATAAAACAATACAATTATCATGACGTTTCGATTGCAACACAAGCAATCATAATCAAGTGTGAAAACCACAGCAAGAAAATTTTCTCGCAAGATAATTTTCTTACAAGAAAATTGTGTTGCAATCGAAACGTCGTGAGAATTGTATTGTTTTATTTTTATTATTTTATCATTTCCCTTCTACACGACTTTACCGAAAAACCACGAATATGTAGGATATGGTCATCTTTAATTTAATCTACATGGCTTATTTGTTTATTATGCTGCTGAGCACCACCCGATGAAAGCTTTCTCTTCAACCTCCCACACACACGCACGCACTAACCCCCATGATCTTCTTGCGGCACTTGGCGCAATCCGGAGCAAAGTACTTCTCGTAGCAGGTCTCACAGTACACGTTTCCCTGCTCCTCCACAAAGCCGGTCTCCGTCAGCGTGGTGTGGCACTGGGCGCAGTTGAACTCGGCCGGATGCCACGATTTGCCCAGCGCCACCAGAAAGGGGCCGCTGAGGGGTGCCAGGACACGCACAACACGCAGGGGCACGCGGCGGCTCCCGGGGAGAAGGCGAGGAGGTGGGGGGGGGGGGGAAATTCTGAAACTGTGTAAACTATGGCTTAATGTTTCGCCGAATATTTCCCGGGGCGCTGCCATACTGGAGTAGGTGGCATGTGACTGGTGGCAGCCACAGCCATGCCAAGAGAAGTATATCCTCTGCAGGAGCAGAAATACTTTTGGGGTGACTGATGAGGACAGACCTGGCTGAAATCCACAAATGGTAACTTCTGCTTGAAATTGGTCTTTTTTAGTCATTCTCATAATTTTATTCAAATTGTGCGATTGGTATCATTTCGCGAGATAACGTGTGCATTTGGAACACTCGTGAGGCATCCATGTTGGTTGGAGAACTACCTGCGAAATATTATATCACAAAACAACTCCAAATGGTCCCCGATCCACACGGAACACCCTAATCTCGCCAAATTAAGCAAATGTCAAAATTAACGTTGTACTTTTAATTCAATCTTTCGTGGCTGGGCTTATGTCCATCGACTCACTGTGCTTGAAAAGCCAATGTAATCATGGTTACCTCAGCGTTTTGACCCTGGGGCCACCTGGTGACCTCGGGTTGACATTACACTGAGAAACCCAAACTGGAACTGGATGTAAAGACAGCGGTGGGGAGTGAGCAGCACGCGGTGTAGAGGGAGAGACAGAGCTTCACCTGTGGGTGAGCGACAACAGTGGAACCTCCACCGACACAAAACAAAACCACGGGGCGACTCACCGGATGATTTGATTGCACTGGCCGCACATGGGCGTGCGTTGGCTGGGCTGGCAGTGCTGCGCCCATTGCACCTTGCCGCGGCTCGGCGAGACGGCCTGCCCGTAGCCTGGGCCCGGAGCGACGGCGTGGATAGGAGTCGAGGATGGGGCAGCCGGCCCACGCTGCGCCGGCGCGAACGGCGGCGCTGGCGGCCCATGCTGCGCCGGCGCACCGTATCCCTGACCGCCGCCGCCGCTGGCCGGTCCCACCGACTTGGAGATCGTCGTGGTGCTGCGATCCGCCGCGTACTTCTGCGCAAACTGATCATCGGTGACCCACGGGGGGCGGCTAGCAGGCCCACCGGAGGGAGTGGCCTCGGTGCTCGGCAGATTGATGGTGATGCTGCTGTTGACATGTCCTGAAGCGGATTTTAGAGAGTGGCAAGTAGGGGCAAGTGGCACGTTACCACTGTGATGAGACACCACATCAGAGAATACTCAAACTCATCAACACAATGTACACTGCATAACCTACCGAGTATACCATGTAACCCACACGGAGTCCGCCATATAGCGTACACAAAGTATACCACATAACCCACACCGAGTATACCACGTAAATATTGACTTAAAGCTTTCGTGACTGCAGGAATTCACATTCTTTGGGTCTTTCGGTAAAGTTACATAGATAGGTTCAAAGAAAATAACAAAAAATAATAAAACTACGATGTTTTGATCGCAACACAAGTGTTCGTCATCAGGAAGAGGGGGTTAGCTTCTAAAGGTAAACTGTTTAAAAAGGTTTGAAATGGGCATAGCCCAAATGTCAGCAGCCAATGTTAATGTAAGTGGTGGGCAGCGACCGCGATGGTGGTGGGTTTTCCCACCAATCAAAGGGCTGCCCAGTAAAGTTAGCATGATAATGTAAGATCATTGAGCGGCCTTAATGGTGGGCGCCCTGAGGTGGCTATGCTAATGTGAGAGATTAGCATGTTCGTGGCAGATCGCAAAGCAAAAACCTCGAGCTCGGTGAGCGAGGTGGCTGTGTTAGGGTGAGAAATTTTACCTGTTAATGTAAAATCAGAGCCGAAAATAACAACGAACATCGGAAGGTGGTAGGATGGGAACATCACAGCCAGTTATGACTTAAACTGGTTGATAACGTCCTTCCAATGATTGCTCAGTTTATACCCATCTTCTCGATTGAAATTGTGTCCGTCTATATATATGGATGGCTTAATGAACGAATCTTTGCTGATAGCCAGTGGATTTGCAAAGTACCTTCGTCTTAGTGATATCAATTTCGTGGAATCATTGGAGGGACATTATCAACCAGTTTAAGTCAACCATTTCAAACCTTTAGAAACAGTTTACCTTTAGAAGCTAACCCTCTCTTCCTGTTGACGAACGCTTTTGTTGCGATCTAAACGTAGTATTTTTTTGTTATTTTCTTTGAACCTATCTACGTGACTTTACCGAAAGACCCAAAGAATATGTATACCACATAACCCACACAAAGTACTTCATATAACAGTAAGGGATCGGCGAGCCACCCTCACGCACACGCACCACGCAGACATGACATCTCCGCTTTTACTATAACATGCACCAATCACGCGTGCGGGAATGTGCTGGACAGGGATCAGGGGTTAAAGGGCAGTGACATCACCCAGACCAGGCGTGCCCTACGTGGATGTGTATTGGGAGCGAGGGCAGAGATGGAGGGGTTAAAAGAGGCTGTGGGACGTGTGTTCGGGGTTACATAGTACACCGCATAACCCACACAGAGTACGCCTCATAACCCACACAGAATACACCACATAACCTACACAAAGTACTTCATATAATTCAGAGTACACCACGTAACCCACACAAAGTACTTAATATAATACAGAGTACACCACATAACCCACAGAGTACACCACATAACCTACACAAAGTACTTCATATAATGCAGAGTACACCACATAACCCACACAAAGCACTTCATATAATGCAAAGTACACCACATAACCCACACTCAGCATAATACACAATGAGCACGTAGCATAGCCTCCACACATTAAGAGTAAGAAGCACGTTGGAGTGAGAGGTTTCGAGCGGCACCTGGCGCTGGCTGGTTGGGCCGGATCGTTGCCGTTGTCACCACGTTGGGTCTGGGGCTGTGGCCCACGGCGGGCGGAGCGTGCGCCGGTCCAGAGTGCAGCGCGTGGGAGCTGCGGCCGACGGAGATACAGCTGGGACGTTTCGACTGCAATTGCCTTTATCTATTGAGCGGGTCAGCGCGCCGTGAAGATTCACACTCGGCTGTGACGTACGGAGACAGACGTGGTCGCACGCTTCTATACTCCAGCACCGAGTTTTCACGTTGAGTCAAGGTCACAGTTGGCCAAATGTGACTTTAATTAAGAGGACTGTAAATACTAAAGATGCTCTGTCAATTTGTATTACTAACAGCTGTGGTTAAAGGTAGGCAGCACGTAATGACAACAAATGCGGGAGACACCACCTCTGATTTAACAAGTCAGATGGTCTGACTACTGCAAGGAGATCGGTTATCATCAGCAGCAACCATGTTCTCTCCACTGATGGATGAAGGCCTCCCCGTGTCGTCTATCTCTCACAGTCCTACGATGGAACAATCCATCCAGCACCAGCGTGTGAACCGAGTTCATTGCTCCATTGCCTTGGAGGACGTCCTCTTTGACGAGTTCCATACCTTGGTAGCCACTCCGTTGTTATTTTTGACCATTGCTACTTCTTGCCCGTGGTGCATCCTGGTCAAGCCCCACTCAGTTTTCTTAATACTTTAGTTTGGGTGGTGTTATTAACCTGCATATGTTCTCGAATCCATGCATTCCTCTGTTTCTTTGCACGCTTTTCACTATTTGATCGAAATATTTTTTTATGACCCCAGTGTTTCAGAGCTACGTGTCATAGCAAGCAGTGCACGCCGATTAAACACGTGCTTCTTTCGGCACATTGGTACTCAATGTTACTTTTCATTACACAGCAGAGTATGTTTACCTGGCACAGCTACTGAATGCACACCAAAATGAAAATGATGAATACATAGGCACAGAGAGCATGTTATATATATCCAAGTATGAGCAGTTCCCGACTTACAAAAGGGTTCCATTCCTGAGCCCGTTCGTAAGTCGAATGGTTTGTAAGTCGGAACACAGTGTACTGTATTTAAATGCCCACACAGTCAGTGTTATGAAATGTATTACGGTTTAACAAAAAAAGGAAGCATTGTTAAACTCATAGAACAGGTTGGAAAGTTGAACTCAATCATGAAGAGTCGCAGTCATCATCAATCTGAAATTTCCGCACCATATAAATGGCCTTAAGTAGATAGAAGAGTCACCGTTGGCAGTACCTAGTTTGCTTGGAGGCAGCAGAGGAGGCTGAGTAGGCATAAGAGGAGGTAGAGACGCTCTGCTGGAAAGAGGAGCTGCAAGCGTGGAGTCATGGAGAAGCAAAAGTAGTTAGGAGTAAAAACGTGCCTCATACCCAGTCCAGGCAGGATACATCTTAGGACGTGTGGCCTCCTACCAGACAGACTAGATCCCCAATTTACACAGTCGTCAGCGAGGAATAATGCACTTACAGAAAAAGTGGAGAAATTAGTACCACATAATTTCTTCGAAAATTACCATAAACAACAGGAAATGTAATGGGAATGCAGTGAGCATTAATCAAATGTTTGCTTGTCTCAAAAGGCCATCATAAAAAGTTCGGATTTTTTTTTCTGATACTAAAAGTGTGCTTTAGCTTAAAAGTTATATGTCTCACTGACAAGCGACGCCATGTGCTAGTATGAGTAAGCGCTGTGTTCGATGGTTAAATCGTATCCTGCTTGGCCAAAGTAGAGTGTCATGACATATTTATGTCTTGGTGGAATGTGTGATGGGTGCGGTGAATTTTAAAGCCATGTAGGGCTGGCTGCAAGCGGTGCATGCCAAGGCAAAGTCCAGCGGGGCGTTTGTTTAGTGCATTTGCGTGACTTTTGTTAAAAGAGACTCTGCTCCGAATTTCCATTCCAACCACGGTGTCTCCACTTAGCAATGCCGTGTATTTTTAAAGGTGCTGCACGATGGTTCCGTTCTGATCACTTCAACACGATTCACCGTTTCACCCACGCATCTTTCAAGGAAAATTACGCTGATGTCAATGGCAGACAAACAGCATGGTTTAGGGCTTGGAGAAAAGCAGAATATGTATACAAAGCACTAATCTCTAGAAAAATATCATTGAGTGTCGAAACTGTTATATAGGGGGTACCTCCATAGGGAAGTTTGGCCATTCCCTTCATCGAAACTTTGCATGGTGGTGACAACTAAAATACCTGGGAGAAAATCTACACACGTGATGAAATATATATTGTTTATCCATTGAGATAAGTCAACAACTCATTTACTACACTGACATCTCCTGGCCATCTTGTAGCACTGCACGTTGAGTTTTGTCCACAGAAATCATCCTCATCCACCAACCTTTGCTGAAGAGTTGATGGCTTATTGGCGGACCGCCTCTATTTATGACATGAAATGTGAGATTTTGACCCATGAGAGGAACAGCTGTGTGGCAGTGTAATTACAGAGAGAATACAGGGAGTGAAATTTGTTTACCCACAAGACAATCGGAAATTAATAACGTTGTTCCCACCTGCTACTTCCTGAGATACCGTTTGTACTGTTTGACTAACGCCAATAAACCACGCGACCAGGGTTTGTAGTCAACAGAACTGAAATCCACTATCTAAAGGGGTCAATTGCAAAATGTTCTATATATATTTGAATTGCTTAATACATTTAAAGATTTCAAATCTCGGGTTTGGACTGAATTTAGTAGAAAGATAGAAATGTACATTTTGGTATACTATTTTGGCAATCATTAGTGATTGTAATGAACCACACAGAAAAATCTACTTTAACCGTGGATCATGATTACTGACCAATTTTCAAACCTCCATACTGTCGCTGAAGGAGCAACTTGTGATATTTACGTTAACAACTCACAGGTGAATTAAAATCTAACTTAACTCCAAAATACGTTAAAGAACTCATAGCAGCCTCTCAGCCTAGCGACTGAATGTGGCAGTACTATGCCAGTAGCCCCCACATCACCACCAAGGGATTGCCCCTGCTCGTGATGAAATGATGCTCTGGGGGTCAGGACAAGGAAAATGAAAACGGTTGCACATGTAATTCTGTATTATTGGGGCGCCGCTGTGGCAAGATGTTCACTCCCTTGCCTGCTATGCAGGTTCCGACCCTGATGCCTTAGTTTAGTTTAGAAAAGTGAAGGCAGACCTAGAGGACAAAGCGGCAGACAGTGCAGCAGATGCCTGCGCGCTTGCATTTGGCGCCTTTGGAAGAGGCTGGAGCTTTGAGGTGAAAGGCAGAGGTGAGCTGAAGACAGGAGAGAGTGGCATGGAGCACACCGGTCAAGCAGAAACGCTCATGTAAGGATGAGTCACGACAATCAGAATGAAAGCAGGCAACATTCAAGCGTCAAGCAATAAGCTCCTGACATGCAATGCACTTTGTCTTCCCCATTCATGTGTTATACACGTGTTACATAATATATGCGTGGAGGTAAACTTCAATGATGCACTTGATAGTGTATGCAGTGGACTCATTTACAAACAGAGCAGTAGAGAATATGTATTTGTTTTACTCCCAAATTGCACTCCTAACATCAGTAATAGAGAATATGAATTATACGCTAATGCAAAGATCAGTGTTTTTTTTCTTATTTACTGGTGGGACAAGTGCTGTTAGCAAGCACCTACTAAGGTCAGCACCTACGATCAGAGTGCAAAGTATAGGAAAGGTAAGAAAATCACAAGCAAAACTAAACTATTTATTTTTTATTTGACCAAGTAAAGCCCACTGAGCAATTAGCTTCTTTTTCACAGTTATTGAGTTGATTGGCAGAACCAGCCAGGTGGGGTAAAGCGTGGTCACTCCTACCGTTTCCAATAGCCTGGTTAACGTGGAAGATTAGACCAAATACCACGACGAGTTTGTTCTCGAAGAGACCCTTCTGCCGGTTGTGGCATGAGCGATTGCAGGACCGCACCTTTGGAAGAACAGCGTCATAGGTTACGGCCCCAATGGCCCCCCGTGACACGTTCGTGCCGCCGGTACCTTTTAGACGCCTGCACAGAGGCCATGGCCACTTGCGCCTGGTTGGCCGAACTGCCATGATAAGCTGGAGCTCCGTGCGGTCTGGGAAGAGGAGAGCGACAAATGGAGCGAGCCGCAGGCAGGGGAAGAGGGGCGCATCACCATCAGCGGAGTGGCAGTTGAACATTAATGAAGATGGCACACACTGGTTTAAAACATGTTTTGCTGCAATAAACTACAAAGACAATAATAGTCTCGAGCAGAGACTGGGCCCGACATCGGGAGAGCATTGTCCAAGCGCAGCAGTGCCGTCCGCTGCATTGAGACACAAATGGGGGCCGAGTGGACAATCACATAAATAAACTAACAAAACCTCAAGTGAGTTTTCCCCTCAACTTCAGACTGTTTAGAATGACAAAATCATCACTAGCTGGTGCTTTTATGCAACTGATAACTGGACTACGGTGTATTTAAACATCCAAATAGGTGACCAACTCCACACTCCTGACCGCGCGGTAGCCCTGCAGGTTTCAGGCTCTTGCGGGGAGGAGGAGGCTTGACCATGAGAGAAGGGCGTGCTGATGTCGGTTATTAGGGGGCCTACAGAAGACATCTTACCCCCCCCCGCCCCCAGCCTGTCCGAGAGGTTGGAGGCCCAACCAGGACTCCCAGAGGTGGGGGCAAAAATGGGAAATTTAGCCCAAGCCTCACACCAAAAGAAGGCCTCATAACAGGCCTGTTTGTTGTTTCTAATAAGGGGGGCCCACATGGTATTCTGCACCAGGCCTCCAGGAACATCTGAGTGGTCCCGGGCAGAATCATGCATGGATATGGACCGGCGATGAGAGGACCCCGTTTCAGACACGGGTCCCTGGCTCTTGCATCAATGTCTCGCCAGAAACGTGTGAAGAGACAAAGAGCAGACGTCAGGACCAGAAGCGAATCCAGTTGGAAGGGGGCTGGGGTGTGGGTGACGCAGGGAGGGAAGGGAGGGATGTTCGCGTTTTACCCGTGCTGGTTTTCTCCCGCCCTTGACTCATCCTCACTGGGTTAGAGCGACGTGCGAGAGTTTGCAGGTATCACGATCGATCGAGCCACACGTGGGAAGAAGATGCGAAATGAAAAAAAAAAGTGTGATGGTGCATTCACAGCTTTTTTTTTATCTTCTTCTGACAAGCACATGATTAATTTACACTTGCACAATCAAATATCGCAAAGGCATAGTGGGCTTTGTGTGTGACGAAAAACAAAACACACCCGTACGAGCGTTTTATGCGAATTTCAGAGTTAATATCATCAGCTCAATCAATGGACAGTTCATACAGATGGATTGCATACATCCGACCAGAAAACCTGAATAAATTGCACAAAGACGTGAGCATGCTTATCACTCACATTAGCCAGTTCAATTCCTGGGGTGTGAATTTAATTCCAGATGTTGCCATCTTCCCAATTAAATGCCTTTTTCATTTTTTTTCTGGCGATTACAACACAATGGTCATGCACATAGAACTCATCCGCAGCAGGCCATGCTCATCAGGCAGCAAACGTACATTACGTTTACTATACCTGCAGATAAGACATTTCATACAGAGACTTGCCCAGGAAAAATGACATGGACAATTATATGGAGCCTATCTGTCCTTGCAACGTGGGTGAGTAAGCGGACGGTTGTGTGGGTGAATGGGTGAATGACTGAGGAAATGAGTGAATGAAGGAGTGAGTGAGATAACAAGTGAGCACGTGAGTGACGGCTTTATGACAACCCAATCAAAACAAAAAAACGCCAATTGATTGGTTCAGGCTGTCAGCATGACAGCACTGCATCTATGCACACTACAGTACAGTTATATGTAAATACATATTAATACAATTGCTTAAGCAATCATTTCTTATACAGTTAGTCATCCACAGTGCTAAACCTTAAACATAGCACTCAGACTGCCAGACTATCCAATAACGATACATATGGAGAACTGCTCAATGGATGTGACACATTCTGACAAAACCACAAAGACATAGAATGTAATGTTTACCAGTAGCTAACACCATACACACGGGTTTTAGAATTTGCAGAAAATCAGCATGGATAAATAAGAAGTTTGGTAAACATGTAAATAGTGTTGGTTATCTTTTTGCATTGTCTCCTAAATGATGGCACTGGAAATATTACCCTGTTGAGCCATATAACTGAGTAAAGCTTGTATGCTCACTGGAGAATGCCTCTACACCTTAGTGACATTGCAAGTCTCAGGTCACGCTACCTGGCTTTCTTCACGGATTCGCCATCCAGGTCTGGTTCTGAAGAGGAAACAAGACAACGCATCAAAGTCAGCGACCCTCATGGCACGATCGGCCGTGGCACACACAAGCGGCGGCAGTGTGGGAGTACGCACGTCCTTCGGTGCCGGTGAGGTGCGCCAGGATCTGGAAGGAGCGCGACTGGTGAGCGGCGGCCCCCTTGGTGTCGTCCCCCTTCACCACGGCCTGGTACACGTGCGACGACGTGTCCACGTGCGGCTCCTTGGCGGCGATGCTGCTCGCCATGACAGCGGACGCGCGCGCGCGTTACTCAAGCCCGGCCTCTCGCGCGCCCGAGCACACACACACATACACACGAGTACACAAAGATACAGATCCCCCATATAACCTTAACAGACTGTAGGGGCAGGTGCTGTTAGCGAGCACCTATGAAGGCCAGAACGGTACATGAGGGGGTGGGTGGCCAGCACCACGCCTTTGTCTCCTAGTAGCAATGTTTACACACCGCACCAGGTACTCATTTGAGGCTGAGTCGACCTAAGGGAGGCCCGGGACCGGTTCAGATCATCGTCACTGGTGTTGGCCATGAGCGGCAATCGAACCCGGGTCGCCGGGTTCATAGTGCAGCGCGTTAACCGCTACACTACCGCTCCTCACGAGTACACACGCGCACACATCCACACGCACGCATGCATGCAGTCACATGTATGTGTGCACCAGTGCTGCCAGACAGATTCTTTGCTCCAGTGGCCACTTGGTTTTGAATGTTCCATGTTTTTTTTACGTTATTAAGCAACACAACTTAAGGGAGAAAATCGCTTAAAACTGATTCGTGCAACAGGCTAAGGGCTAATGAGCAAAATTTTGCATTCTGGAGGAGAAAAAAGCCTTCATGTGAGGATTCCACAGAGGTTTATTTTGGTATAAGGCAACACTAAACTTTAAAATAGTTTTCTACTCATTATGTAAGCTCTGGTCAATTTCTTTGCTTGGTTGGCACAGGCAGTTTACTGTTCCCAGCAGAAATTAATGCTTGAGCTCAATGCAATAAACCATTGTAACATTTACCCAAGTACCATTGGCAATGCTATTTTAAATAAAAACTTGTTCAAATGTTTATTTATTTATTAAAAGCAGTGCAGAAATACAGCTCAGTTGCAAATAAGCAACATATGCATATTTTCATATTCCTAATAATAACCATGAGTGATGAAATAATTTCATGAACTGGGACTGCGGGGACTTGGGTGGTGGTAGTGGTGGCTATGGGAGGCCTTGATCCAGCAGTGGATTGACCATGGCTGATGACGATTGATAACCACATAGAGTACATGTACATAGACTAACTTTCGTGACTGCAGGAATTCATATTCTTTTGTTCTTTCGGTAAAGTCACGTAGATAAAAAAAAAATAACGTGAATAAAAATAAAGAGTAAAATAATAAACAACAACAAAAAAACACTAATGTAAACTTTAGCCTGGTTATTAAGTTTGGTGAGTGTACTGGCAGTCTATAATGTCGACTGTAGCAATGGTTAAGCTGGGTGAGTGTACTGGCAGTCTATAATGTAGACTGCATTCTGGTTCTTAACTTGAGTGAGTGTACTGGCAGTCTATAATGTAGACTTATATAATGTAGACTGCCAATACACTCACCGAGATTAATAACCAGGCTACAGTCTACATTATAGACTGCCAGGACACTCACTCCGATTAGAATCAGGCTGCAAGTCTACATTAGTGGTTTTTTGTTGTTTATTTTTTTTATTCACTTTATTTTTTTATTATAATTTTTCTATCTACGTGACTTTACCGAAAGAACCAAAGAATATGGTACATGTAACGCACAAGTTTACTTTCTATCGCTTTCGGCAAATTACTCCGTTCACTGATGACGGGAAAACTTCACGGATGTGCTTAGCACAAGTCTGAAAGTGATGTAGGCGTCTAAGCTGACCCTGCCCAATGAGAAAATGCAATCAACACCCAGGCTGTCATGTTTTTGGTTCCTAACTTCATAAAAGCAAGTTTTCAGATGTGTATGGTCATGGGCAAATACTTTAATGTTTGTGCCAAATTTAAACTCTCTAGCCCTTATAAATCGGCATAAGTCAATCACTCCCTCAATTGTATATACGTATTAAATAAAAAAAAATTTACAAAAAGTATCTCATTCAAGATATTGCACCTATTTTGGTGAATATCCGAATTTGGTCCAGTTTATCTTGCATCATTTTTTCCTTTTTGCTAAGGTCGTTCCTGTCCCTGACAGAAAGCCACCACACTGGTGCACATTCATGCAGCAACACACCGATTCGTGCGCGTACACTAACCCAACAACACATGCGCAGGCTCGCACAAACAAAAACAAAGCAAATGCGTACATATGCGCACACGTACACACAAACATGCATGAGCGTGATACACGTGCACGTATATGCATGTACACATGCGCATGCACGCTCGCGCGCACGCGCGCACGCCCGCTGCCTGTACCCCGGGACATCTGTCCCGCGCACGTGGGTCTGCCCAGCGATGGCGTCCATGATGGAGTCCTGCGAGTACATGCTGATGGGAGTGTTGTACTGCGCGTGGATGATCGTGGCCTGACCTCCCGGGCCCGTCACTGCGATGGGCTTGTGCGCAAAGGCCAGGGAGTCCTTTAGGAGCGCAGGGCTTGGCGGTGGAAGGGATCGGTTTTTGGATCGTTTTTGGTTTGCGTCGTTTACATTTGTTTATGGGTCGGCACAATTTAAGCGCAGACACGGGGGAGGCGGGGTGGGGAGATGGTGCACGGAGGTGCGCAAACAGGGGAGGTCGGACAGAAGAAGAAAGAGAGAGGCAGAATGAACGAGTGAACGAGTAGGGAAGAGAAACACGCTAAGTTTACATTGAAAAGTTGGATAACTTTACTCTGCTTATTCTCGTTGATTAATTTGTGTAAGCTGACTGATAGCTTCCACAAAGGTAATCGTTGCCCACTAACAGCCACTGGTGTGTCTTGTACTCTTGCCTTGCTAACTGAACAATCTTCTCTTGATCAGAAATTTCTGTAATTGGATAGAATCCTTCAGGTGTATCTAATTTCGATCCTGACCGTATTCACCGCATGGTAATTGTAAACATATACAACATACCGGGTAAAAAAAAAACATGCTGTTCACCAGCAGGATAATGATGGGGGTTTTTAAAGGATGTTTATATTTTTATGCACTACATAGATGTTTCAAGCAGTGAATGGAAACTCAGCGAGAGGCAGCTTAGCCAGGTCAACAAAAGCTTCCGCTTACTGCTGGGTTTCCCATTCACTTTCTGCAACAAGGAAAAATAATGCGTCTTTCCTCAGTGAAAACTGAAAAATTCACAGGATGGACAGGAATGTATACATTTAGATTTGAAGCTTTCGTGACTGCAAGGATTCATACTCTTAGGTTTTTTCGGTAAAATCACGTAGGTAAATTTTTTTAAATTAATAAAAGTAAAATAAAACAAATTAAAAAATTCACGACGTTTCGGAAGCAACACAAGCCTCCGTCTTCAGGTGGAACCGTCACAGCCACGACAGCTGTATCAAGTAAATGAGAGATCACAAGAAATACTACCCCGTACATATAATGGTTGAGGGGGGAAGGGCCAGGAACGGCACACTTTTTTTTATTAATATCGTAAGGTGAGGCTTAAGACCAAGAGTAGACTGTATAACAAAGGACTGAGCCTTTGTTATGGAGAGGTACGGTTTGTAACTACCACATGGCAAACATGACAAAAGTGTGAAAAAAGAAATGCAAGTAAAAAACTAAAACTGGTAAAACAACAAACTGGCTGTCTATCAATGACCTGTAATAGAACTGATTCTTCGACTGTTGCCGATCATTGCTACAACTCTGTGGGCTCTCATGAAATTGTCTTTTCCGAGACCAAGGTGCTCTGCAAACCTACTGGCTACCATCAAAGGTTTGTATACAAAGCCATACAAATATACAAACACAGACATAATTTCAACCGTGATGAGGGTTACAAACTGAGTAATCATTGGAAAGATGTGATTAACCATGCAAAAAATATGTAACTACACTTATTTGGACCATCTTATTTGACAGACAACTATTACAGGTCATTGATAGACAGCCAGTTTGTTGTTTTACCAGTTTTAGTTTTTTACTTGCTTTTATTTTTTCACTTTTGTCATGTTTGCCATGTGTTAGTTACAAACCGCACCTCTCCATAACAAAGGCTCAGTCCTTTGTTATACAGTCTACTCTTGGTCTTAAGCCTCACCTTACCATATTAATAAAAAAGTGTGCCGTTCCTGGCCCTTCCCCCCTCAACCATTATATATACGGGGTAGTATTTCTTGTGATCTCTCATTTACTTGATACAGCTGTCGTGGCTGTGATGGTTCCACCTGAAGACGGAGGCTTGTGTTGCTTCCGAAACGTCGTGAATTTTTAAATTTGTTTTATTTTACTTTTATTAATTTAATTTTTTTTACCTACGTGACTTTACCGGAAAAAACCTAAGAGTATGTATACATTTGTCAAAATAAAATATGCCGTGTCACAATGATGTAAAAATAAAATTACATCTTTTCTTTTTGTCAAATGCATTTAAGACGCAGCACACGAGTGTCACGTTGAAAGTAAGTGCAGCATAAATGCCACCGAATTGCAGACACGGTTTGCAATTGGGATGCGACTGCAGTAACAACACAAAATCACAGTGCATGACGCCAGCAGAGACCACGGAAGAGGAAGGTCCCCGTGACGGAACGAAACGAGCCGAGCGAGAGCTGTCCAGACAAATGCTGCTTCAATGTCAATGTCAACATAGGATCATCGCTCCTACGTCGTCACAGAAACCCGGTAACAGAAATGCACGCGCGTTTCTTCTTCTTCGTCTGTGTCAGGAACTGACACATCCATGCTGATGTCAGAGATCGAAACATACATGCACACGCAGCAACTGAGCTAGTGGTGAATAAGATAAGAGCCCCTGGCAGCAATTCAACACTCCTCTTGAGAAGGCTCGTCGGCTGAGACTCCAGGTTCTTCTTTTCATCCCGAGCGACAGAACAACTCCCGTTTTTTAATTTAATTTTCTTAAAGTTGCACGTTCTTGCGTGGGATCTCACAAGTTTGCAACAATTCACTTACCTCGGTGACAGCGAAGCTGCAACACAGCTGTGAGAATTGCATTTCTGCCACGAATAAATGGTCCTGATGGCAGCTGCAAGATGTTATTTGATCTTGCAATGCAACATTTGGACACTGGACACGGTCGACTTTAGAAGCCAGTGATCCCTTTAGGGCCGCTGTGCCTCTTGCACAACATTTGAGATTCGCAGTACCACTTCATCAAATCCCAAATATGAAGTTTTTTTTTAAAAACACTTACATATTGTTCAGTCTCGTTAATATCATGTACACGTGACATTGATTTAACACAATATTCAGCGTAAACTGCAAACTGCTTGGCAACTCAGCCAGCCACATATCTGATATGTATGTATGTGTGCACACAATATTTGGATGTGTGCCCATGTGTGGTTTTTGTGGCTCTTTGGTAAATAACTTCATGGTGAAGAGATAACCAGCCCCTTTCACCAAGCCGCAGCCCTGAGTAGGTGCGTATGCTTGCATGCGAGTGCGTCTGCTTTATGCACGCGTGTGAGCATGTAAGCTGCATGTGTGTGAATGTGAAGTGTAGTGGGGAGCGGCTGTGTCGCACTGAGTGCACTGCACTACGAACCCACCTACCCGATTTCGATTCCCACTCACGGCCAACATCAGTAACGAATATATGAGCTTTGGTTGACTCAGCCTTTAAATGAATGCCTGCTGCTGTGTGTAAATATTACCAATGGGGAGTTAAAAGCGGCCGGGCGTGATGCTCACATCACGTGTGCCATGTTGGCCTTCATAGGTGTTGGCTCACAGCACTTGCCCCAAAAGTATGCTGCTACACGGGGAATCTTAGTCTGGTTTGCATGTATCTATTTGTGTGTTCAGACACTGAAACCAGGGGGTTTACTATGCTTATTTTGTTTGCGATGAGTCTGCCAACTTGTTCCATAATGTCGTCGCGGCACAATGGCACAGGTGCCACGGTGACATGAGTATCAATAGTGGTGAATGACAGCTGTGTGTGTGCGTGATTGCATGTGACTGCACCAAAGGAAATTGAGTACTTACTTAGCCGTGTTGGCAGTGTACACCTGAAAAACAAGATTGAAATGACTTAATAATGTCTAACTGCACACAGTGGAAATGTGCATTAATCACTTTAAATACATTTAGGCCTACTCTCTGGTTCTTTCGGTAAAGTCATGTAGATAGAAAAAATAACAACAGAAAACACGAGACCAAGGTGCTCTGCAAACCCTCGGGCTACCATCAGAGATTTGTTCATGAAGCCATCCAGATATACAAACACAGACAAGACTTTAATTGAGAAGATCGATTCAGATTGAGCAATCATTGGAAGGATGTGATTAACCACGTCAAGTTTTAACTGCAACGATATTCACTCACCCACCCGTTCGTCTTGGTTTACGGTTACTAATTCAAGCTTATTGACATGCTAATTTCTCCAGCCCTACTCGTCCCTGTATGCCACAAACCCTCCCCCTTCTCCCCCGTGAACTCCTGCAACCACGACTCGACAAAACTCCCCCCCCCTTTCCCCCCCTCCCGTGCCTATATAAAGCCACAACAGCAGATCATTTTCTCACCTGAAGACAGATGCTTGTGTTGCGACCGAAACGTCGTGTTTTCTTTTGTTATTTTTTTTCTATCTACGTGACTTAACCGATAAAGAACCAGAGAGTATGGATTCCTGCAGTCACGGAAGCTTCAAATCAAGACTATATTTAGGCCTTTTTGTCACTAAATTTTTTCCAAGGCACCTTTCATGACAAAAAATGTATTTTATTCAATATTGATCTACGTTGTGCACTGTTTGCAATTTCTTCTGTCGTTAAATATTGTTTTATTTACCGCTAATTTCTATTTGGTAAATGTTCGTTCTGATTTATATTTAACTTTTTCAATGTGACCCGGGTCACCCTTGCAAATTACATTATCTTGGTTAAATATAATAAACTTCAACGACCCAACACAGGTGGCTTCTCATTCATCCTGAATAGCAGTGGCTTGGTGGCAGGGTGAGGGTCAAGGGGCAAGTCCCGTACCTGCTGCTGAGGAGTCACGGCTCGTGTCCCATCAGCATGAGGCACGCCTGTAGCGACTCGACCCTGGAGCTTGGACCTGTGAGGTGGAGTTGATATCGGCGACATAGAGAGGGAGCAGAGAGGAGAGACATTTAAGAGTTTTTAACATGCAGTTGGCTTTTGCGACCAATAGGATCAATATGAGATTTTGGGTTAAATCGCATACATATAAATGTGTCAGAAACGAAGTGTTTCGGGCTCGCTGTGCGCTGCATTGGACCGCTATCTGAGTAGTTAACCTCGCATTCAATACACTTTCAGATCCAGGGTGAACATCCGACTCCGACGTATTTAATTCATAGAACGAAGTAAAACTGATGGAAAAACACAGTACAAAATACAGCAACTGTTAATACTTGCAATATCAATACAATGAATGAACACAGCAGCATCATAACATTGTCTTAGATAACATGAAACTCAACAATAGGTCCTTGATGGACCAGGCACCTACATTAGCACTGAATCGCCATACAAGAGAATAAGCTACAGTGTTAAATAAGGTCACTTGTGTAATCACCATACTGCAGCCTAAATGTACAACGCTGCATATAACACTGAACTGTGGATGAGATACTTATTCATCCTTGCTCAAGAACGCATTAAAGTTACATGGGCACAAGTCTGGCTCGACTTGTCCAACTATAAATAACATTCACATTAATGCAAGTGGCAGGCTTCATTGTTAACTGGGCCTCATTTATCAAAACAATTTAACGGCATTATAAAGGCATTTGCAGCATTATAACGACAATACTAACATAACAGCATTCCCATGATTATAAGAACATAAACGAACTTACAGATAATGCTTCTTAAAGTCCCACAATGAACAGATGCACCTGTCTTCACTGAGATGATAATTGTGCCTCCATTTTGTACTCTGCGTAATGGCTGACACCCCTTCCTCGTGGCTTAGATAACCTTAAATCGTAACTTCCTGGTCACGTGACCAAACTCAACACCATATCAGGAAGTTCCTGTGTAGGTACACCCCTATATCTGCCGTGGGGCAGAACAAGGAGAATTTATCCACAATTCTGGCTGTCGCCTGATGAGGCTGGTTGTAATCACCAGCGAAACGTCATAATAAAAACAAATGCAAATGGTGTGAGTTGTCTCTCCAACACACCATTGTGCTGAACTAATTAGCACGTTTTGTTCACGTGACAAACCTTACTAATTGGCTGTGTCGGGTGGTGGCGGGTTTAACGACACATTTATATTTATGTGATCTAACCCAAAAACCTCTATTATGGTCAAGATCTTTTGTTTGCTCAGAATAGTGGTAAGGTACATATTGGCACAATTACAAATGATTACATCAACAAACGCATGACCCAAGCACCACCATGTCTACTGTTCATGCCCCACGCCTGTAAGTTAATTACTTACGTGTGGGGTTGATGGATCATGCGGGAATGAGAGCCATTGAGTGTGCCAGCCACCTGACCCATAAGGTAACAATGGGGCACCTATGGTAGCCGAGTGAGGTGCTGGTGGGTCCAGCTGCGTGACTCTTGTTCCTATTTACATGTGGCTGTTTTTTTGTCCTTGCGTTCAATTTCCTCCCACGACAGGATGTATGAATATTCATCGCTAACATACAAGTTGGTCGAGCCAGCACCAAAGTAGAATCCTCTCCACAATTTCCTTTCAAAAGCTGGTGAGGCTTTGCTGGGTAAAGAATTCAAATCATTACAGCATTATTCAACAATAACTGACCACTATATGCTTATATAATTGGGATTAGTTTTAAATTTGAAACTTAAACCAAGCTGAATTTGGCATGCTTAAATCAATATATTTCTTCACTGAGATTAAAAAAAAATCACAAATAAACATGTATTCCTTAAGAGCTCAATATGCTATGACATAATTATGCGTTGTTGGTCATGTATTATTAACTCTTGTTAGCCTATTCATTTGAGATACAGCTGCATATCGATGCAGTTGCATACAAACACATTTCAGTATGTTATTATTTACACAAGTGGCTCTAAAGAATGCACTTTAGGCTGAGCCCAAGGGCAGGCAATCAAAAACGATAACGATGCCCTGTGTGTTCTCCAGCAGTAATTCAAAGAGTCTCAAGACATTTTCAGGAGGGTCCCCCATCGGGGTGTTTGACCACATGGGTCTGTCTAGGCCAGTGACCTGGAAAACTTCTCCACAACCGACACACAACATCCAGTATACCTATCGCCATGGCAGTGGGTAATGGTTAAGTGCTACCTGCTCCAGTCTACCAGTGACCCAGAAAACATTGAGTGAGAAATTAAGAACCCTGGCACGACCATGCCCATGGGAGAGAACAGAATGTCAACAGTTCACATTTGAAGATTCCCTGGTTATAACATGAGACATTACAAATATATCCGATTTGGCAGGGACAATGCTAACCCTAACAGTGCAGAGGTCACTGAAAATGCATCGACGTGTTTAGCAAAAAAGTTCCTAATGCCAGGAGAGGGAGCCACAGCCAAGCTGATTGAATTACCACTCAACATACAAAGGTATGCGGCCCAGTGGATGCGCGCTGCCCTGAACGATTACACAGAAAGCACACGACCTCAATTACATGCATACAAAAATTGGTCCTGTTTGTATTGTGCACGTCTGCCATGCAGCTGGCCCCTGGCCATCCTCGACAGTTGTCAGAAATTAGTGCAATAATCGCGCCTAGGGCTGCCACCTGTCCAGGTTTGGCCCCCGACAATCTGAGAATTGGCAGGAATTTATTCAGACCGACTAGCTGGAGCTAGTGTTGTGTTAAAACTGTATTTCAGTTGACAGCACAGTTTTGACAGACCTAGGCTGGCTGAGCAATACGCCCGGGTTTGGTTTGCGATGGACACGGTGGCAAAGCTATGCGAAGCTGCGGAAGTGTTAATTAATGCAGCATTGAGGCCACTGACTGGAATGATATCATGGTATTAATGGTTCCTTGTCTCCATTCATCTTTGCAGCCATTTCTCTATCAAATTAAAAGTCTTCACACATGCCTCCTTGCTAAAAATAAAATTGGTTGTCATCCCTTCAGGTTGCATGGAGGTGCAGTATTTACTCTGGATACAGAGTTCGCTATTAACACTACCCAGTTAAAGAGGGGGTTGTTTACACGCCAACCCCTGCGTGCCAACGCACGCATTTACAAATACAGAACGGTTTGCCACATACATTGCTGCAACCATATAAACGTCTGCAGCATCTCGATTGTGAAGGGAGTACTCTGTGACCTTAAATTCTTCATCGGAGATGACCAAATCCCAACAGTGTCTGACCAGCCGGTAAAAAGCCTTGGAAGGTGGTATGATGCAAGCCTGAAGGACAAAGACCAGGTGCAACAGCTGCGCAAAGACATCAGTAGTAGCCTACAGTCCATCGACAACACCCAGCTACCTGGAAAGTTAAAGGCCTGGTGTCTGCAGTTTGGTCTCCTACCCCGGGTGTTGTGGCCCCTAGCAGTGTATGAGGTTCCAATCTCAACAGTGGAGAAGATGGAAAGAGGAGTCACGAGCTACTTAAAGAAGTGGCTCGGAGTTCCACGATGCCTTACCACCATAGGCCTCTATGGAGATGGTGTCCTCAAGCTGCCCCTCACCAGTCTAACCGAGGAATTCAAGTGTGCAAAAACCAGGCTCCAGATGATACTGAATAAATCTCGAGACCCAGTGGTGAGCAACAACGCGCCGACCTTGGCAACTGGGCGCAAATGGAGGCCAGGAAAAGCAGTCCAGGAGGCAACAGCAGCCCTCAGACATGCTGACATTGTGGGTCATGTTCAGCAAGGGAGAGGAGGCCTTGGGCTAACTAGCCGTGCTGCTTGGAGTAAGGCCACTGCACCAGAGCGGCAGAAGATGGTAGTGCAGGAAGTACGCCATCAGGAGAAGGCTGCAAGGTGGGCCAAGGCAGTCTCTCTTGCCGAACAGGGACAGTGGACTCGATGGGACAGTGTGGAGAAGAGGAAGATCAGCTGGAAGGATCTGTGGGCCATGGAAGCGAGGCGGTTGAGCTTTTCCATCAGAGCAACATATGACGTCCTTCCAACACCAGTTAATCTTCACCAATGGTATGGTGAAGATCCGGACTGTGCCCTCTGTTCCATGCCAGCCAACCTCAGGCACATTCTCACAGGGTGTAAAACAAGCCTCACCCAAGGACGCTACACTTGGCGTCACAACCAAGTCCTTAAAAACCTTGCGTCCGCCCTGGAGGACAAGCGAGCTGCCACCAACTCCCTACCACCCCCAGCAGCATCACACCCCTTACGGACGACCTTTGTTCGCGAAAGGGCTAAACCACCGAAAAGCGGCTCTACACCAATAGAGCGAGACCAGCTGCGCTTGGCCCGCGACTGGAAAATGCTAGCTGACATTGGCCGGCAACTTGTGTTTCCTCCGGAGATCGCAACCACCACCCTAAGACCTGACATGGTGCTCTGGTCCCGTTCGCTCAAGAAGGTCTTCATCATTGAGCTCACAGTACCCTGGGAGGACTCAGTAGATGAGGCTTATGAGCGAAAACATCTGCGCTATGCCGATCTAGCTGCCAAAGCACGGCATCATGGCTGGAACACAGAAGTCCGACCAGTGGAGGTGGGCTGCAGAGGTTTTGTGGCAACATCTACAACCAGACTGCTTAGAGACCTGGGAATTAAGGGCCAGAGCCAGCATTCGGCAATCAAAGTTGTATCGGAGGCGGCAGAAGGCAGCAGTCAGTGGCTCTGGATGAAGAAGAAAGACCCCAGCTGGGCCCCAAAGTGAGAGGGCCAGGAGGTATGCAGTCAACAATGCTTGACTCAGGGAGGAGGACGCCCCTGCCATGCATAGTCCCATGGGATGTTGGCTATCAACAACAAGGCAACTTCTATGACTAATTGGGAATGGGACGCAAGCATAGGATTGATCACCCTGTCGCTGGCCGCCTTTGGGGAGGGTGTATAGTATGAAAGGCCGAAACACCCTAGGAACCAAAGGTTCACTACTGACGATGCGCTCCCCAAATTTCACCAGGCTCACTGTTCATGAACTCTTG